GGCGTCGTCAGCAACAGCAGCAGCAGCAGCACCAAGCCGCAACAAGTAGCAAAGCAGCAGCTACATAAGCGGCAACCAGCGGCAGCAGCAAACAGCAGCAGCAAGCAGCAGAGCGGCAGCAGCAGCACCGTTTACACCAAGCCACCGTTTACACCCAACCAACCACGTTCACACGTTCAACCAACCCCCGCTACACGGCGCAGCTGGGAGTCGAACCGTGGGGGAGGGGGGGGGTTAGCGTGATATATCAAGCTTTAAGGCACACAGCTCATCCCACTACCAATTGCTAAAGCAAAGAAGAACTCAGCTAGCATGCTAGCTTTCGTGAAAGCACCTAAATGGAAAAATAAAGAAACAAACTAGTTCTGGCTGAAGGAGTTGGATTCATTGTTGAGACGAATCGCCCATCTTCCTCATCTTCCTTCTCCTGTAGAAAGGAGCTAGAAAGAAGCTGCCACTTTATAGATCTTGCTGGACTTGGCTCCTTCTCCACTTCAAACCACCAGTCTCCCCCTCGCACCTCGCTGCCGTTGCCGGACAAGTGTTGGAACAGCTTCTGGCACTCGTAGACGCAACGGCCAAGCCCCTGTCGTCCACATGCTAAAGAAAATGGTGCGATGTATATATGATAAATCCGACATTGTAAGACCTTCTCAAAGCAAAACCGGTCCCTTTTTAAAAGGTACACCCATATGAAGCTCCTCTTTCAAGAAGCATCCGCATGGGTCTTTCTGTGAGTTCTCCTCAAGGGCTGACTTGACCCAAACGTGTCAAGTAAGTGTTGGATTGGCTGTACCCTTCAATCTTGCAGTGTTCCCCATTTTGGGGGGATGTTTCTCGCATGACTTGAGGCCAAATCGAATGTCCTTGAAAAGAAAAATTAAACAAAAGAAGCCTCCGCCATGGCGAACTTGCAAAAGTTCTCTTGGCTCAGCTGCCCACTCCTGCAGCGAGCCACGAATTCCGTCTTCTTCCTTGTTGAAGAGGGGGCCCCACTATGGGATGAGTGTTTCTGTCAAATGCTGAAATCCAATGTTCAAAGGGGAAGACACTTCCGCGACAAAACTCGAAGGAAATTGCAACATGGGTGTGAGAACATGAAAAAAACCCGGCCAAAACAATGAAGAATCGAAGTGACTTGTCAGTGTCCTCATACCCCCCTACTGGCCCCTCCTCATGTCCATCTTGCAGCATCCTTCACCAAGCAGGGCATGTGGCGAACCTCGAACCCCTTGGCGCTCCCCAGCTCGGCGCTGCCCCCCTCGGCCGTTTGACTTCGTGGAGTTCCACGCCTCGGGTCCGCTGCCCTTCGCAGGTCTTCGAGGAGCTTCGGCATCCTGGACGGTCTCCCGCGGTGGAGACCCAGGTCGGACCGGTCTCCAACGGTCGCCATTGCTTGGTTAACTATAGGGATAGGCCAGGGATAGGGATAGAGGGATACCAGTCATGAATTCATGACGGCCATATTCTCTCAATGCGGCCCCAGGCCGCGGAGCGTGGGGAATCTGAGGACGTCAGATCGTTTGGAGCGAGCTGGTTACGCCCCCCAAATCTCAGGAGATGACAATGTCATTCGATGTTGGGGAAATATACACGGGGTGGTGCCTCCCAAAGCCGTGAGCATGATCCCTGAGGTTGAGCAACCTGGTCAATTTGTAAATAACCAAATCTCTATCCTCCCTGGACCGGCCTATCTTTTCTTCATCCCTATACCAAAATAGATCATCTTCATTTGTCCATGCGCCCTGGGAATCTGATCCATGACTCACGTTGCCAAAAAGTCCGCCTGTGGGCTCCCTGTCCGCGGGCGCGGGAGAGGAAGAGCCGCACGAACCTGATCGCCAGGCGTTTCGATGAGTTTCAGCTGAGGACGGCCGGGGGTGTGGAAAGATTGCAGCATTCTATGGATGATGGATGTACAAACATGGTCAATTGTCTGGTGTTGTCCAGACTTCCTTCCATCTCACATGCTGCCAGAGTCTCTCAAAAAAACTTGGGATTGCTGAGACATAGAGATACCCGAATTCCTTCAGCACTGCCGGGAAGTCGTGTGTCGGCCTTAGTGTTTCATCGCTCACCGCATGCTCCTCCGCAGACTCCTCAGGCTCGTCGGCTTGGCACTTGGGAAGTGGACGATAAGTGCTCTGAACCAACTGAGACCCAAAGGGCAGGAGTGTCTTTTAAACGACTTTCTTTTGGTGACCGAAATTCTCCATTAGCCCAGCCGTAGGTCCGGAAAAAGATGCAACTTTCACCAAAGAAAGACCCGGCCTGGAGTTCCAATGTCCCTAACGTGTGGTAATTCGCATTGTTATTTCTTAGGTGGCCTAGATCCAAATTCACCGACGGGTTAAGGGGCCAAGGTCCTCTCAACCATCCGCACATCAACGCAGTTTCTTCTAGCTGAAGCGCTTCTATGTCCCACCCAAGGATATATTTCTTTGATATCTCTTTGCTGCAACCATCTCGCCCCAAGCGTCCTACTTTGCTTCCCCCCCCGGATGACCCTCGCTGACTCCTCCACGATGGCCCGCCACGGCGGTCGTTCCCCGTAGACGCGCTGCGTGAGCTCCGCCGCGCGGAGCTCGGCCAGGTGCTCCGCGCCCCGGGTGCGGTGCACCTCGCGGTGCCAACCTGTGAATCGCGCGGAGTGTCCGCGGAGAGAAAGTCCGAGACCAAGGAGAGGAAGAGAGGTGAATGAAAGGTTAATGAAAGGGGAGAAAAAATGGAGGGTGAGCGGAGAGTCAGTGGGGTAAAGCATTTTAGCGGAGTAGTCGAGCAAATTGGACAGTCTTTTGAAGGGAGTGGTAGTTGGTGAAAAAAACATTAGAGAATGTTTGAGGGGAACTGGCAGTTTTCGTCGAGAGGATCCCCGGTTAAGCAGTGAAACAAAACAAAATTGGCAAAGGAATTTGCACCACCCGGGAACACACCACGGTGAGAAAAACAAACAAAACATCTCAAGAGACTCAAAAACATTTTTTCCTGGCATATCAAAACAAATTCAAAAATAATCAATCCACCCATCCACCACCCAAGCACAGCCCCCAGCTACCACCGCACACGTTCCACCCGCCCACCTGGCGCATGGCAGTTGGTGGACTTCCCCGCTGGTGGCCAGGCGTCAGGTTCCGGCCGCGGCGGCGGATTCTGCGCCCAGGCCTCCACAGGCCGACGGCCAGCGGAAGATTCGGGACATACGCATGGTTTTCACCCCCAAAACATCCCAAAACTACAGGGTTCCTGCCTTAAGCCAATTTTGGGAACTGTGTTTGAAGTATAGATCTTGTTCTTTAGAACCGCCACCAAGTCTGGTGACCTCGTCCTCTGTTCTCTGTGCGTGAAGAAACACACACAAATACTGTATATCCTTATACAATACACAGTAAGGGCCCGCCACGACGACACCAAATCTTAACTGCTTTGTGGCGACCGAATTGGGCCCCTTCCGTGCACATGGCAATGTGTTTTTTTGGAACCTTTGGCTGGTATGTTGCGTGCTGCCATGCCTTTGCACGCGCTGACAAAAAGATCAGGAGTTGCCCCGCTCTTGGCGCCCAGCTTGTAGCATTTACTGGGATCGACAGGCCTGTGGTACCGAAAGTGTTGGTATTTACAGGAGAGGCGCCGGTCATGGCCCCAGAAGTAATGGTTTTTATATAGGCCACGAATCGGGAACTGCAGCGTTTGGGTGTGGAGCTGTCATCGGTTCCCTTCGGTACTTGTGTCGCAGCCTATCGGCTGTTTCGCACGGACGCCCGCAGATGCCCACTTTTGAAGACATTGCCAAACGAACGACTCACTACACAGGCGCGGATGCTCTATTTCCAAGTAAAATAACAGCATGGCATGGATATTTCTGACATTTGAGAAGGGGCAAACCGGTAGTTACATCAAAGAAGTCAAAAGCTGTTGCTAGGCCGCACAATTTTCAGGCTTCCGCGTGCACACCAATAACGGCCTCAACACGTTGGTCCCCTATAGTATCTGGGCACTGGCTTGCTAAGTGCCGCGGAGTATGCTAAGTGCCGCGGGGTGAGAGAAGGGACTGGGACAGCACTAGTGATGTAAACTTGTCTTTTTCCAAGCAGCGCATTGCAAAGCTTTACGCTAACAGAAAACTGTCTTTTGTCAAACCTCTGGTGCCAAAACTTGGTATATTTTTTGGCCACTACAACGGAGCCGTCCCTTCTTCGGAAAGCTACCGACCTGCCAGATTCTCGGCCCCCATTTTTGGGACCATGAAGCTACACACAACTGCAACGGGATAATTGCACCACGATGGTCTGGAATGGTGATTCTTTGCGATGATTCGCGGGTTGCGTCGGGCAACACAGCGGCAACCTGTTTGAGTCTGACACACACTCGAGATATTGTGTACTGAGCTGACACATCCCACGCGCCCACCTAGGTATGAATGCCTAAGGGTACCAGGGACAAGGTGCGACTACGAGAACCATGACATCCAAGCATCTCGAAATACTCGAAGGGCGGACGACGAGCGCAGTCGCCCCTGCCGACCTCTGAAACTTCACCAGCCTGAACTCTAGAGTAGGAGGTGATTACCCAACGCCACAAACAGTTGCAGGTACGTGGACAGGACGTCTCCCGTCGATATCAAAAGCCAGAGATAGGTCTATCCGTTGCCCTATACCTGCTCCAGGTGCTGGTCGACAGTGTCAATGAATTGATCACCCCAAGTTCAGCAATAGAACACCAATATCAAGTGAGCTTGTGGCATCTTCATTCTGGTCATAGCCACTCTCTCCTGATTGTCCAGCCCTTCAGGATAATACCTGTTGAACCTGAAGAGGTCAGTCCAATTAGCATTGTCATCCCAATCAGCAAGAGGAGGGCTATTCACCCGCTGACAAATTCCGAAGGCCAATCGTCGAGATCTTCCCTACTGCAGACGAACAAGTTCCAATCAGCTTCAGCAGAAAGGAGTTGATGTTAAAAATCGTCAGATAGGGCTTGATACTCGAAAGAACTGAACTCACCTGGAAATTGTAGGCCAATTTGCTGGTAAAGCCTTGGAGGTAGCTTAGATCTTCACGCTGCTGGCAGTCAGACTGGTATGTAAAGGCTGCGCACATATCACCAGTCAGTAAAGCCAGTGGTGATAGCTTGATGCGGTTCGTACGAGCACCGATACCACAGGCCAAAATGCATCCAGCGCCATACCTCCAATGATCAGCGCAAACGTAGTGTGGATGGACCTGATACCTGGGAACTCCGTCGTAGGAATACCACTCAGATCATCATCCGCAACCAAGCTAGTGTCAAGCTTGGCTCTCTTGCTGAGAGGCTTTCCTTCTTCTACTACTTCAACTTTGTCATCATCATTATTTTTGTCCTTGTTCTTCCTCTTTTTCTTCTTTCTTTTGGACTCATTGCCGTCATCATCACCTTGCGCTCTCTTGTCGCTCTTTTCATTGCCTCTGCTGCTCTTGTTTTGATTTCCGTCAGTTTCTGTTCAACTTCCAGAGGCTCGAGCTTTCAAAACTTCTTCACGTTCATCGGACCTCCATCCGAGTATGCCATCGGCCTGTTGGCCTTTTGGTCCATTAGACCAATTTGGGCGCCAGCCGCCGCACTTACCTCCACCTTTAGCCATGGGTTGTTTGAGCCTAAAGATCAGGCGGAGATAAGATAATATCATGCGAATGACATCCGAAGAACAACCAAAAGGTTGTTTTCACCCCTGCTATAAATCAAATGATTCCCTGTGACTCCAAGGGTTTCAAACACACAGTATATACTATCATATACAGTTCATATACTATCGTAGAATCTACAACCCCCAACCCCCTCCCTGTTTGAAAACAGAGCTTCTGGCAGCTTCTGGTGGTTGGGCAAGAGCCTCAATCCTTGACATGTTGAGATAGCTAGATAGCTTTTGTGTGGGTCCCGAATGGTCCCCAAACCATGCGCACACCGCATGTGTTTATTCGCTGTGAGATGGTTTTGAGGTGAGATGTGGGATGAGGTGAGTGGCGCCATTGATCGAAAGTATGTTAGCTAGCTTTTGAGAGGTGACTTGTAGCATTTGAGGCACAGTGAAAGTTGCCTTTTGCTCGCAAAGGAGAATCTGGGGGCTCGACCAAAACATGGGGCACCATGTATTCCTTCGGCCGAATCTTGGCAACGGCTTCAGTTACTCAGTTACTCCCAAACCCCAACAAGTATTCTAAAAGACCAAAGAAACAAAGGTGAATCCCCATCTTCAACAAATCCATCCGCACAAAAGAAATTCGGAACTCTCTTCGGCACACGCGAAGACCCTTCAAGGTTTCAGCACCCTCCACACCACCTTGAGGAACTTCTTCGACAGCCGCTCCGCCACCGGCACCACGGGCGCGCCTTTTGAGCAGCACGGCTAGGCAGGTTGGGACGACGCGACGACTGGCCCAGGCTCGTTGGACAGGCAAATGGCCCAGGCGCGGTGAATCGCGCAGCATCCCGGTGCCCAGGCGGTGCCCACGTTCCCGGACCAGATCAAAAAGGGAAGGGACCCAGTCCTCGAGGTCCTCTGTCACCCAGCCAGACTCAGTCAGACCTCGACTAAGAGGTCAAATAGATTCGAGGTGGTTGAGGTCGGTTGAGGTGGTCGGGGTCACCGATGGACGTTCGTCGCGACGAACGTCCATAGGAACATCGGACAGGACACCGAGCGAGAGCGACGGAGAGCGATAGATGATATTTTATATATACCTAATGAGACCCCAGTTAACCTCTGTTCTGATAGGAAAAGACCATGTTTTGGCTCCAAAACAGGGGTCAATCAGGTCCTAGGTATATATATATTATGTGATATAGCGATCGTATGCTCGATCGAATCCTAGGCTTTTTGACACGAGACAGACTCGTCTTTGGGCGTACGTACCATTGTGTCACCTGAAACAAGTTGGGTTGGTAGGTGACCTTTCCACAATTATCTCAAAGTGATCGAATCACGAAAGGCCAGAATCTGTCCAGTTCGGTGGAAGGATCCTCCAACGAAGCCATGCTCTCGTAGAAAGTGCCGCCATGTCCCATGTACCATAGCTTTTCAGAATGGACCTGTCAATCATACACCATGACATCCTCCGGGTTCTTCACCTGTTTCCGCTTCTGTTCAGCCAAGTAAGGTTTCTTTAAGTAGTTGCGTCACACCTCACAACGAAGCCTGGATCCCAGCCCGCCAGCCCGCCAGCCCGCCAGCCCGCCAGCCCCGCGCTCCCGGGTCTGTTTCACCCAGCCTAAGACGGCTTCGGCACCTGGCCAGCGCGATCGAACATGAGGTCCCACTCCATTCGGAACGCCGGCGACTCAGTTCCGGAACATCTGACCCCTTCAGTGACCTCAGTCGGGGGAAAGTCAACAGGTCCAGGTTGACCCTTGTTCAAACCTGTTGGTTCTTGAGGGATGCCAATCCCCCAAATCGGGTGTCTTTCTTGCTCGTCGGGACGGGAGTTTCACCCGTTCTCCGGTAGGTCCCTTCATTCCAAGACCAGCCCTCGCGGGACGAGACTTTTTCGGCGCCAGGAAGAAATTGTGTGGAATGCTACCTGGTATCCAGAGCAGCAATTAAATCAAAGAGTGTGGTTGGAACTTCTTTCGAAAGCATCGACCATGACTGAGAACTCTTGAGGGGCTATGCTGGCTACCTTTCTGTGTTCCCCGTATAGAATAGTGATGCTGATCTTTGACTGCATGGGTAGAGGACGACCCAACCAATCCCTATCAGCAGCTTACATCCTAAAAGCAATCTGAAACTGGTCTTGACCAAGATCTATTTACAACCTTTGGTGATTCTGGTGTTGTTACCAACAGCCATCAGGCTCCGTGCCGACCCGAATGGTCCCAACCAATGGGCGGAAGTGACTCTGCCACCCCACCTGCGTGTAGCGCGCTGCGGGGTGTCGGAGGCGCCATGGCGGTGAAGGCGAGAGCGAAGGAGATCGTCAAGGTGGTGGAAGAGTCTCAGCACGGCGTGTGGGGGGTATTCCCCTTTCGGTTGGCTGATGGCTCTTGTCCAACAAAAACTGCAAAGAGTGAAAATAGTGGGTTGAAATCTGCGAACTGTTCTTTCAGGAGATCAGTTTCCGATCTAATTGGGGTAACCGAAGATTTTCCAGCTTGCCAAGCATTCAGCAGAAACGAACTCTTTAGATCTCTTCGCAGTGATTGGACATCCTCTCCAAGCATCAGCCTTGGAGCAGCAGGCCCGTCGAGCAAAAAATCACAGAAGAATCCAATGAACCATGGCTAACCCTGAAAAAAAATAACTCACCTTTTTGAGATTGGCCCTAAAGACTTCTTTGAGATTTGCCCTTATTATTCATCCCGTCCCCTTTTCAGGGCTCTTTCTTCTTCGTTCGGACTACTCGTCCCGGCAATGGGCTGCTTGTAAAGAGCAAGGTGGATGTGGGTCAGGTCAGTATACCCCCAAGGCACACGCCACTGAACAAACAATTTTAAGTATACAAGTCTGACGAACGTGCCTGGTCTACCTGAGTCTAACTGAGTTTACGAACGTGCCTGCTTTCGATTTCCTGTGTTAACTGTCGACCCGCATCGTTCGCGACACGGGAGCGGACAGCTCTTCCGAGCCGTCACCTAGTGGTGCCAATTACTTAAGACAAACTGATGATGTCAACAACTCTTCAAGGTACCGAAGACCTTTGAGGTTCATCATGGTTCATCTATTTCAGAAGTACAGTACTGTATACAAGTTCTTCGAATGTACACCGTTTGTATCTCCCCATACCTCTCGGACTCTTTTCCAAAGCAAGGCTGCCATGCCTCAGAATCTCCCCATCACACCAAGCAAAGTGCATCATTTTCTATCCAAAGATATGCCTGCTAGGTCTCCACCTCGCTTTTCTCCGCTGTCAAAAAAAGAATTGAAGCGAGCCGTTTACGACAAAACGTCACATGACCAAAACGACCAAACGGAGGGTCTTCAAACCGACTGGGTCATCACCAAATTGGCAGGATATTGATGCATCCCAATCCCCGACTTCACACGGCACGAATAAGGGACTTGCAAAGGAACAAAGCTTGGAATCTATCTCTGTGACCAGATCGCTCAAGGCACCGTTCGAACACCTTCTCACCATCATTGTCAAGTCCATGAGAGTTTGCGCCAGCATGGGTAGAGCGAGGGTGTCCTTCGCGGCCGAAATTTCAGGGCAACAGTTTGCAGCAACTGCCAATGTTTGAAGGTCCTCATTTCAGTCATAAAGCATCGTATATGATAGTATGTGTATCTTCAAGAGTATATGATAGTATTATGTATCATAGTATAGCATAAATAAAGTCTATACTCATATAAGTATATGATCGTATATGTATCAGACCAAGAGGTCCCCCCCTCGGTGCTTCGAAGGGGGCAGGACCTCGCCGCGGGACATCCTCGCGCCGCTGGAGGACTCGACTCGGACCACTCCGGAGTGTGCGCGGCGCTCAGAAGCGAACCTCTCGGTCGGACGGCGGAAAGGCCCCAAGAGGGAAAAACCGCCATAGAGATCGGGCATCAGCAGAATTTGGGTGTCTGCCGCTTCGTTCGTAGGAGGACCAAAAGGCGAAGTCCGATGAGCTAAAGGCTGAAAGAAGGAAAGGGAAACAGGTGAAGGGAGCTGCATTGAGACCAAGACCTGCGTACTTGCAAGATATCCTGTGTGCCTACCTACAAGCTGAGTGACCTCTGTTTTGGATCGCCAACCATCACCAACCACCATTGTGGTCTTTTCCTATCAAAACAGGGGTCAAATGTTTTCTAGGTACAAGAACATCCCAATGGCCGTGAAACCTTGCCACCCAACCAAAACAACCATCTGGCATTGTCCATCCAACATGGCCAAAATATCAAACTCCGTTGAATTAAAAACAAGACTCAAGGACAAAAGCCAAACAAATGAAGAAACTAAGAAGCACATAGTAATGAGGACACTGTATATTACTCCAATGTCATCAGCATCACCATCCCTCTTGGTGCACTTGGATGTCCTCATCTTCATCCACCTCCACAAACTGCTCATCCCAAATCCACCTCTCCCACCCGCTCGTCCCACCCGTGTCGGAACGCACCAACCTCCGCGTGGCCCTCTCCCACGCTCCAACCGCCTCGTTCACCCCAAGGGACTTGGCATACTCTTGTCCAAACTCCTGCCGAACCCGCGGTGACGTACGCGAGAAAC